TATAGCACTTGTCAATGTGCTTAGTAAGTAACAGTGTGCCCTCTAACAGGGTTGATTTTGTAGGAGTCAAAATGGAATCTCCGAAAAATTAACTGCTGGAGAGGTTGGTCTTAAAAAAAAATTAAAATTGTCTATGAGTTTGTATGCTTTACACTTATTTTGTTTATGAAATGTGAATTTCATTTCACCACATTAAAAATTTCTTAGCTTTTTCATCATCAGTATATCAATTTGTGCTTTTCTGTTGCGTCTATGACTTGCCAGTGAATTGACACAATAAATTGTGTTACAGCAAATCCCTGTGAGTCCATGGCACGTCATATCGGCTCATGAGGGCACAATTTTTACACGCATATTATAATCAAGATATTTTGATTTTATTTCCCAGTGCTTGAAAAGCATCATAAATTGTCACTTTCTATTATAGAAACAATCACTCAATATTAAGTATTATTATTTCATGACTCAATATTGAACATTCCCACAGTTAATAATTTTCAATAACCAGTCATTCACCAACAATATGCAACACAATTTTGTGTATGACTCAATCTCTGTTTTATTGATAATTTTAATTTTTATAATCGGTTGTTAGACGAATTTGCATATGACTGTCTCTGCAGGTGTTATTATTCCAAATTTAATTTTCATAATTGATAAAGTCAACATAGTTATTATTCATTTCCATTATGATAGCATTTGCCCAAGAGGTTTAAGATATTAATAGCTGTATGCAATGACAACTATCAGTCAAGCGCATCCACATGTACACCTGCAGTCAGGATAAAACACATCACTTATGACAATTAATATTTATTTGATTATTAATATTTATCACCACTATAAGGTATTTCCCAGATTAAAAAAAATTGTACAAGCTCAAAGAGTTTTTTTTTTATAAAGCTGGTATCTAGAGAATGAGTACTGCTAAAACAAACTTGACTTTTTTGTTATATATTCAGAGGGAACAAATTCTGTACTTTGTGTGAAAATTAAGGGTTGATGAAATGAATGAACTTTAGAATTTTGCATTAGATTTACTCTATTATCCCACTGTTGAAATGAATTGACTATAGACAGTTGTATCTTATTAGATTATCTCTAATATTCCAAATTATCTCATTGTTGGAATACTTTGGGAAAAATTACCACTTCAATCATGGAATATTTTTCATTGCACGAAAGCAATTTGTGTGAAATGTATTGTAAATTTCACACAAAGCAAAGGAAAACCTTTATTCCCCTCAAACAGAAATAGAATTTCTCGTCAACTGTTTTTTTTCCCATTCATTTTAGCGAGTGAAATGTTGAAGCCAAAATTCATCAGTCATATATTCTTTGCTGGTTTTACAGGGAGCTTCTGGAAATGATTTATACTGATTGAAAATTCTGAAGTACGTTATATCAAAAAGAGTCAACACTGGTTCAATAGTACGATAAACAAAACAGACATGAATTGATCATTTTGAATGGGAATTTGAAACAAATGCATGATAGTTATGTGTGACACATTATGCATAATGTAGGCATAAAGTTAGATTGAAATCAGTCAAATAGTATCAGAGATATGGCATTCTAGAACAGCATTTGGTAATAAGTTTCTCAAATCATTTCTGGGTAAAGAATGGCAG